GAAAAGCTGTCAAAACCTGGCTTTGCCAGCAGGTCTGGGGTTGATGAGTTCCCTCCCCTCTCGACTTGTATGGTTGCGTGATTCTTGCTTATTTTAATTATCTGTATTCTGTTTTATGTTCCCCCTTTTCCCTTTTTGAATTGTTCGCCGCCCTGAGTCCTTTCTGGAGAAGGGTGGCATACAAATAATAAAATTCAATTCAATTCAATTCAATGTTCAATCAGAATATCTTTTTAAAATTGGCAGGAATTTGAATCAATCATTACAGTACTACTGATATAAGTATAAAAAGAAAAGACTTGCCATCTATTGGTACAGCATCTTCATTTAGCACTAAACATGGATCTCATATTCACACTTCAAACGAAATGGAGATTGTATTATAGCATGCTAAATGGATGATATGACTGAATTATATATACACACAGAATTCCAGTATAGATGTTTAGAATTAGTCATAAGAGTAAGATGGTCTGATTACCTTGTTCAAATTGAGCTAGCAATTATGATTTGACAAGGGGGAATAGCACATAGAATTTTTTATCACAATATCAAAGAAACCTAGAGGGACCAAGGATCAATCTTGACTACTCTACACCACGATTCAAGATGGGAAAAGGGTGCAAAGCCAGTGTCATCTGTAGCTTTGTCTCTCTTTCCCTTTGTGGGTTCTGTCTCTGAAGCCAAACATGTTCTGAAGATCTAAGCCTTTTAAGACACCTTAGCATCTGAGAGTTCCTGATGAATACAATGCAAATTATGGCTGACATTATGTTATTTTATATACTTAATTATGGGATATTGTGGGTATTTAAATTATATGCATTTTAACTAAATTTAAAACTAATTTTAACCCTTTTTTATATTTCATACGCTTTCTGGCCAAGCACTTTATGACAGATAAAATAAACATTTTTAAGTATATATTTAGAAAGTGCATGTACACATGAGATACCATGTTTTCCCAAGCTCTTAGCTTTATTTTTAGGGTGGCGTAATTATTTTTGTGGTGCAGGTGGTGGTAAGCATGGTCACCTCATGGCTGCTGCTATGTTGCAATATTTTCAGAGATGGCTTATTTTGGGGGAGGGTTTATTTTAGCACATGCACTCAAAAACCCAATTGGGCTTATTATCCAGGGAGGTCTTATTTTCAGGGAAACAGGGTAGTAAGTTCTTTGCACCTTTACATTATTTTATTTTTAAAAATTGTTGAGCTATAAACTGCTTGACTGATCTGCTGCTAGAGATCATAAATAATGTGAAACTGTTGGCAGCATGTGGGATTATGGGGAAATAGGATTACACAAGAGCAATGAAAAGAGTAACATGCAAAAGAGCAAAACTGCAAATGATTTTTTTTTACAAAGTGAGCCATTTGAAGAATGGCTCTGCTGAACTGAACATTTTGAAAATGGTGCCCAAGTAAATTGAAGATTGATTAAAGAATACTATATTTTCCAGTTGTCTATGGCTTTTTTTTTGTATCTCAAATCTTTCAGAACAAATCCAGATAAAATCTCCATTGTGAAGTTGAGAGTAAATTATTTGCTATTGTTTCTTTAATGTGAAATATTTGAAATTATTTTAGCCACATTCAAGCTATGTACTTAAAAGTGTAGAACTTTTTAATTTTTTCTAATGAAAAAGAAAAGCTTTTTCTAATTTTATAGGGAAGAATATTAAGCTTTAAAAATATGCACAACCAAGAGATAAATCCAAACCATTTCATTACCTCTTCTCCTTCTTCAATATGGTAATCTTTCCGTTGGTTTGGCCCACCAACAAACATTATATTGAGCTGTCGGTGATGCCTGCAGAACAATATTTTTTAAGCATAAACTTTTTAAATACTTCATTCAATTTATTGCTGTCCCTTTCTCATGGCAAAAAAAAGTGGCACATAACAGTAAAAGTATTTTGCTTTAATGTTAATAACCATAGATAGCAGCAATCATATAAAATACTGAACAATTAAGGGATAAAATAATTAAAGTATTTAAAAACTGTGCAGAAAAGTGAAGAATGAGGTGATTGCAGGTTGTTTTACTAATGGTGCATTGCTTCATTCAAATCAGAAGTAACTTACACCCTGGTTTATTTTCATGGACAACTTGAAGAAAACAATACTTGCAATATGTAATTCTTTGCTTTTAAATTCCTTGGGGAGAAAGACATCTTCAGATCTACCTCCCATGTTTTGTTTCTTTTGTATTAGTCTATTGAGCATTAATGGGATATTACCCTTATTTAGAAAACGGAACCAAGTAAATGAAGATAATGAGGTAATCATATAATCTATAAGTAAAATTCAACCTAGATTGAATTCTATTGGAGGCTTATTCAGATAGAATGAAAAATATATGTTTCTTCTAGTTAATGCATTTTTATGCCACTAACTTTTTGGCATAATTGTATGGACTTGGCAAACTTATGTGTCTGTTTTTGATTAACTTCAGTTAACTATGTTGTCCAAACCAAACAGCAGTTACTGTCAGCTCAAGGGTAAGGAACTATAGTACACAAATGCTATTATGGCAAGTTTTATAAGTTAAACATTCCATTTAATTCAACAAAAAATATTGTTTTGTTTGTTGGCACCTATACTGTATATCTTTTTAGGAAATGATACCTGCTTATGATCAGAATACAATATTGCAACATAAAATGTATGTGTATGTGTATGTGTGTGCGCGTGTGCATGTGTGTTTGCTTTAGTGATTCCCTTCAAAACAGTTGTTTTGCATATTCATTTGTTCTAGAAAAACATTGATTAGATCTTTAGACAATATATACTAATTTGTACTTTTAATTTCCTATTTTTCCTCCCATTAAATAAATTGATCTAACTGCTAACTTCATATAACAATAAATGTAACACAATGAGTACATGGATTATATTTTTATACAGGATGTTCCCTTTTTTATTGTTTAAAATAAATAGAATTTGTAAGCTTTGTAAGAGTAGGAAAAAAAGAAGACAACATATGAATTTTAGGCAGCAGAAGTTTGTAACTCAAGGCTTTTGCTTCCAATATTTCCCATTTATTTTTGTATCTTTCAAATACCACCTTATCATCTTCTCCATACCCCACTCTAGATTATAACTTTTGTAACAAATAGTTGGAAAACAGTTACAGAAAACTTAAATTTGGAACTAAAATATTGCTATAAACATGCACTTAGACAGACTTAGGAATTGGCAAATGGGAAGTGATGAAGACACGAACATACTACACATAAAATACATGAAACCTAAGTATGTGCAATGTCAGGATACAAGTCTGTTAGGGCAGTTTTGCTCCAGAACCTCAATAATAATTTTTGCAACAATCATAGCTAAATATGTAAGTCTAGATGCATGTGTTATAAATTAAGACAATTTATACAATCTACAGACTATTTTGATATGAGAAATGCCAACAGCTTCTGGATTAAAACAGTACTTCTATAGAATAACTGCTATGGATTTTTGTTTAAATTAGAATCCAGAGTTGTAATTTATTTATTGATAAATATAATGCAACCTTTAGGCTGGCTTAGCAAGAGACCATAACCAAACATCAATTGTTTTGTCAGAAACTTTATCCTTGCCTTGTACAATCTTTGAAAAATAAATAGTAGTAGTAATAAAAATAACAATAGTACCCACCACTTACATAAGCTTATTGCATACTGGAGGCAGAAAAGCACCTTTGTTTTCTTCTACCCAGTTCTTTACATTCACAAGTGTGTCCTCCATGACCCGATAGCAATATGCTCCAAAGAAATTGGTATACAAACTTACTAAGTCTGGCAACTGTTTTATAGGCTATTGCAAATGAGTGTCTCTGTATAACTGGAATGCAGTGCACTCTCCTCAGCTGATGAGTTTGAGATACAAAAGTTTATTTAGCTGATTTAGCTGATTATTAAGCCGAAAGGCATTTTCCACAGTTTAGCCAATGATCAACTCACACATTAAAAAGTACCATATGTCTAAGGTATCTTCCTCACAGAAATTTGTTCAATTTTAATAAAGAGAACGCATTGGCAGAATGAATTATTTTTGTTCCTCTATTTACCCTCACATATAATAAATTCTTAATATCTGGTCTATGCGTAACATAACATTTCAAGATAGAATGTTTTCTTAAATCAGTTTTTATCTCTATCAAACATTGCTTTCTAGAACTTGTGTGTATAACATATATTTTTTGATAAAAAAGCATATCAATTTAGATTTAGATTTTATACAAGTAAAGAAAATTTGTTTTACAAAATCTTACAACTGGCTTTAAAGTACATGATTATGGAAACATTTACAGCAATTGTCACCAACTTCGATAGTTAAAAGGAAATTAAATAAGTAACAAAGGATAAAATTATTGGGAGATACTAATAATGATTATCATTAATGATTTCATTTCTCAGATCTTCTGTCATCCTGGAATGTACCCAAAAGCTTTCATTATAACTGAGTAACCCTCTTGCTTTGAGGTTTCAAGGTTACTTTGGTTGACACTGCAAACAGCCACATTTGATTGTAAATACAGAAGAAATAACTTGTAGAGCATAGACAAGTGGATTCCCATAATTACCACATTGCATTTACTATTCTTTTCCTGTCACTCCTGCTTACTTCCTCCCTTATTCCTTCTCCTTACAATTAAATGAATGAATCCGAATAGCAGAAAGATCCAAAAGTGAGTTCCATTTTGTTACTGTTTTGACTGATGCTATTGTTAAATAGATGGCTCTGAGTTGCAGAACATGCCACAATTACACATTTCTGTTGTAAGCTTACTCAAATATCATAGGTAAAGCAAGTATATAGAAGAGATCAAGTATCACTCACAGAAAAATTATACATTGTTCTTCTATAAAGAGGTAGGCAGGGGACCAAGATGGCATTTCACTGTGAAAAGATGACAGGCACTTTATGCCTATGAAATAGTTATTCCTCCCAGTTTTATCTTTGGCCTATATCTTTTGGGAAAATTTGGAGAGCTATAAAAAAGCAAAGTGTTAATGCTGTAGCAATAAATATGTACACAACAAAATAAAAAATATTTTCAAACCAGCTTTGACTCCAAATGGCTAAATCAATTTCAATTTTTTGGCAGTATTATGGAAGTGCATTTCCTTTTCCTTCTAGGATTTTTAAAAAACTTTTAGTCAATCTGACACTCCCAGGTGGTACCACATCCATCTAATAAAAAACCAAAACGATTCTAAAATAGAATTTAGAACTGATTTGATTTCTTTTCCATTTCCCCACCTATTATTGACAATATCTGATTTTAGTTATTTGCTCCATTAATCCTATAGAAGCAATGTCTGGTCAGCTGGACTTTGTTTCTAGATCAAACTTTGTAGTGTTTTTGTTTATGCAGTATATTTTGAGTGTAAATCTTCTATTTACAGAGCAGTTTGCTATTTGATTTGATAGTAAACGGCATCATTGCATAGTGATGAGGCTGACCCCACTAAAGATTATCAGCAGAAGTGATAAGATTATCAGCTTCAATAACCCACTCAAAGCCAAGGGTTGAGGTTCTTGGTAAACTTTTTTGGCAGCTGTTTGGGCTTGAATGTCTGTGTTTTTGTAAAAGCAGAATTATGGATCTGAAAAATGAATTACCTGTTATCAGTTTGAATTATGAACACTCACTTATCTGCCAAAGATGCCTCTATTATGTTTTATATTGTTAAAAGAAATAAGGGGGCACACCTGGGGTGGGCCATAGATGAGCTTTTTAATTTCTTGGGTATCTTAAGGGACAAAAGTTTTCATTGTTATTTTCCAAATGAAAGAAATTTCTAATATGAGAGAAAGTTCAAAGTCATTTCCTTTGCTCCTACTTCTTTGAACACCTGCGATAATATACTCAAACCCGGGACGATCCTAACGCACCCACCCCAAAGGTGTTGGATCGAGGGCATCGATGCCGGTCGCGGGCAAAAGGCAGCGCGCCGCTAGGGATTCCGTGCCGGCTAGATGGAGAGAAGCCCAACTTCCCCTCGTTCCTCAACGGAGTTTTCTTTCCCTAGCCTTTCTCGGCCACGACATCCACCCGTTTCCCCCAAAAGACGCGAGTCCTCTCGAGTCTCTACTGAGGCTTTTCTTCAGCGCCTGTCCCACCGGCTGGCGCGCCTTTGCTCCTTAGGGTCTGTTTCGCGTCCTGCGCTTCTTCCCTGCCCGGAGATGGTGATCAATTACAGGCCCCATTCCGCGCTGCAATGGAGTCTCGCAGCGTCACGGCCGCGCCAGGGCCTAGTAACGGCCGTCGCCGCTAAAACGCGACGGCTGAGGAAGGGGAAAGAGAAAGCCGGTTCTCCGGCAACAAATAGAACTCGTTGCTTCTGCCTTTTTAGTGCGGGACTTCTTTTGGCCTGGAAATTCAGAGCAAAGCGAGAAACGGGCGAAAAAGAAAAAGTAAGATCGCGCACTGAAATGGCGTCCGCCGCGGTTGAGCCCTTGATAAAGCGTTCGGGAAGAGTTGATGTCAGGGCTCCAGTGGCGCAATCGGTTAGCGCGCGGTACTTATACAGCAGTACACAGCAGAGCAATGCCGAGGTTGTGAGTTCGAGCCTCACCTGGAGCACAAGTCTTTTGGGACCGTTCGCTTTTGGGATATTTCCGTGCATTTATCAACAGCTCGGTTGCTACGTGCTGCCACCGATTCATTCTGTGTAGAGAGCTACCGGGCGAACACAAGTCATGAGAATTGCAGTAATTCGCAGAGGCGCTAACTTTAAAACTGCTTATCAAACTGAAAGTTGTTGTTAGTGAATCTTTTCATTAGTATAAATACAATAGTTGCAGTTAAGAATCAGGTTTTTTTCTTCAGTATTTCATATTCATTATTCTGGAGCAGAAATATTCATGTGATTTGATTTCATACTATACCTGTTTTTTTTAAAGATATTACATAGAATCTCACAGCTAGATTCCAATTTTAGGTTGAACATGCCAATGGGAAAATTAAACATATTGAATGATTTTACCCCAATGAAATCCTAGAATTAAAATTACATTGTGTGTTCATTTTACAATTGTTACAGGCATAGTTAAAATAATAATATAGGGTAGTAATGATCAAGCTCTGTACTTCAGAACACCAGCGTTTCACAAGATATCTATGGTCAACATCTGAGAAATAATACTTCATTTTTACTCTTGATAGATTTTGATCCATTCAATTTTACTTTATCCATGAAGAAGAAATGTTCATAAATGTGTTCTCAGACAATAGGAAAAAATATTTAAAAAATTAATTATTAAAAAAATGGATGATTAGCCATAATGTATCTAAGTTTTGAAGGCCTTGCCACCATTTCTTTCAGCCTATCATTATGAAAGGGCATTTTCAGCAACAAGTATTAATGTAGGTGGATTTTTTCAGAGCAACCAATTCACGCCAAATATTGATACAAGTACAGGTAATCCTTGATTAATGACTGGCTGCTTAGCAACCATTCAAAGGTACAGTGGACCTCTCCAGAGCTAATACTAGTCATGTAATTGCATTTTGAGCGCTTGGCAACTAGGTCGCTATTAGGGCTGTTTGCAGGGTCCCACAGTCTTGTGACTGTGATTTTTAGTGTTTTTTTACTGGCTTTTGACCAAAAATGCCCACTGGGAAAAGCAGGTTTGCTTACCAATCATCTCGTCTGCTAATAACCACTGCATTTGCTTAATGACCACAGCATTCACTTAACGACTCAACAACCATTGCAAAAAAGGTTGCAAACTCATAGTCACCCACTTAATGACAATCACACCCTGAAGACCATAATTCCAGGCTCAATTATGGTTGTAAATCAAGGACTACCTGTATATGCTTCTCATTAAGGTATGTAAATATGTATCATGTGTAGCAAAATAATTGCATAAATACAATCAGAAATCAAGTTTGCCTAGAGCAGGCCTGAATAACATGAACATGTGGCCTACCAAGGAGTCTTGTGAAACTGTTGGTGCTTTTGGAAAATTCAATAAATCTATTACCACCAAACAGTGCTTCTTCCTTAAAAAACAAATGGCCTCGCCAACATCACCAACTGTCATTACTCCTATACTGTTAGTCTTCAATGCACAACCACGATTGGACTAGAATATCAATTGCTTGAGCAAAGTGGCCATTAAGCAACCACATGACTGTTTCACTTAACAATTGCAATCCCAGTTCTCCAAGTTGTGGTGTGATTAAGCAGCTGTGCAGGTCATTAAGCGGATGGGGCGAAAGATATGTCTGCCTTAGGAGGACAGACAACTCCCATCTGCGTGCAGTAGGGATTCCTATGCTGGACTGGAAAAATGGATTTCCATGTTGTTTTTTCAGTCTGTCCTCTTTGTGTACAGAAGGGAAACTCCTGCACTGAGCTGGAGAAACAAAGCAGGGATTATGAAGAACTTTGTTTTGCTTCTCCAGCCCAATGCATAGGATCCTCTCCTCTCCATTTCTTCAGTCCAATAATGGATTCTGACGGCTCCCCCCCCCCCCCCCCCCTGCCCGGTGCATGGGGAAATATTTTGGCAGGTGATAACAGTTTCATACTACCTTTCCTAATCACTTTCTCAAGAAGTAAATAGATATTGCAAATAGTCATCACATGATCACAGGGATTGGCAGTTTTGCCAGTAAGTGTGGCTAAATTGCCAAGCTCCCAGATTACGATCATGGGATGCAACATTTTACAACCAGTTGAAAGTAGAAGACTACCTGTACCATAGAGCTTATTAGTGCACCACCACTCTTTTGTGGCCTGTGATCATTTTAAATTTATCAACATGGCTCTTTCCCTTTTACAAGGTGTGCAGGCCTGCCCTAGATGCCCTTACTTCTTAACTTCTTTAAAGCTAATAGGAGTCATAAAGAAATACAAGGTGCACAATGCTTATTTAAAGGATCCAAAAATAGAAAAAGTCTCATCCAATAAAAACAAATCATCCGTAGCAAAGCTAAAGAAATGTAATTTTTTAAAAAATCTTTTAAGTGAGTCCAGGTATTCCTTGATTTATGACCACAATCAAGGCCAAACTTTCTGCTGCTAAGTGAGAGAGATGGGTTTTGTCCCATTTTACAACCTTTCTTGCCACAGTTGTTAAATAAATTACTGTAGTTGTTAAGTTAGTAACACAGTTGTTAAGTGAATCCGGCTTCCCCATTGACTTTGCTTGTCAGATTGCAAAAGGGGAATCACATGACCACTGACAATGCAGCTGCCATAAATATGACTCAGTTGCCAAGCACATTAATTTTGATCTTGTGACCATGGGTATGCAAGTGTCAAAACTGTGAAAAACAGTAAAAGTCATTATTTTCGGTGGCGTTGTAACTTCAAATGGTCACTAAATGAATTGTAACTTGAGGCCTATCTGTAGTAAATGAGATAGCAAAATGGACAGTGTACACAGATTCAGTACGTACATTTATTTTTAAAAGGCAATTCAGTTTCTATTCCCCCCCCCCCACGAATGTGAAAGTCTGTGCATTAAGTGGCACTATTTTTAAGATAAAAAGTTAAATGACCAAACCTAAGGACAAAAGCGAGCGTTTTAAAAACAAATAAATATAAAGGGCGGATTTCTGAAATAAAAGGCTACCTACAGTAATAAAGGACGTGAGGTCATTGTAAACATTTCTGACTTTTCTCAGGCAGAAAGTTCGTGGCAAAATCAAATGCAACAATCGCAGATACTAGGGAAACGATAACATTTCCATTATCAGAACTGCCTCCCACACGGGTAGAAAAGCCACCACCTTCTTCCCATATGCAAGTCCTGTCAAAAACCCGCTGGTTTAAAATGAAGAATTGGCCAAACTCTTCCTTTCTTCCGCTCTCGCTCTTCCTTCCAAGCCCCGGGAACGTGACGTGCAGCTCATAAGCGCGCGATGAAATGAGTGGGGAAACCCGGGGAAACGCCCCCGTGCCTGCTCACTCTTTCGCCCTACCTCCCAATTTACCCCTTCTTTGTAAGCCTCCTTCCTAACGCGTTTTCTGCTACCGATCTCCCGTCCCGCCCTTCCCTTTCATCGCTGGGGCTGCGCCTCCGCCCTGCTCGCATCCTCAAGCCGGGTGAACGCAGCGCCTCGGCGGGAAGTGCTTCCGATTCGTCTCCGCCCAGCTTCGTTGGGGGGTGGCGGTGGAAGGGGAGTTTCCAGACATTTTTCTTGGACGGGCCTCTGCACGTTGCAGGCTTGCAGCCTTCCCGAGGCGCGGCGAAGGAAAGTAGCCTTGAGTTAGGCACCCGCAGGGGAAAGGCTCACTGCTCTGCTCTCACCCCACCCGGTTACTTGGAGACCGGGAGCTCGGTGGTCTCGGAGGGTTTCATGGCTTAAGGCAGTCTCTCTATCCCCCCACCACCACTTTCTTCATGTGCGCTCGTATTGTACAGTTTGGGAAATAGAATAGAATTCTTTATGGCCAAGTGTGATTGGACACACAAGGAATTTGTCTTTAGTGCATATGCTCTCAGTGTTCATAAAAAGACAAGATACATTCATCAAGAATCATAAAGAACAACACTTAATGAAATCACAGGGTACTGTTGGAAGAAATGTCCAGCTCCAAGTGGGGAAAAAGACACTGGAGACATGGAAGCTGCTTGGAAAGATGGTTTTAATGGTGGACAGGACCACATGGCTTGAGTCCTGAACAGAAAAGGTGGTTACATGCTTCAATGTTGGTGGAGAAGAGAAGAGAAGGGAAAGCAAGGGCGGAAGAGAAGCTGAGTCCCTGGTTTTATCCCCCTCTGGCCTT